AAAAAAAAAAAAAGCATTCAGTGAACACCAACAGCATCTTTCACAGAAGTAGAATAATCCTAAAACATGTATGGAACCACAAACAACCCCAAATAGTCAAAGCAATCTTGAAAAAGAAAAACAAAGCTGAAGGCATCACAACCTTAGATTTTAAGTTATATTATAAGACTATAGTAATCAGAACAGTATGGTACTGGTACAAAAATAGACACATAGTTCAATAAAACAGACTCCAGAGCCCAGAAATAAACTCATGCTTATATGGTCAATTAATCTATGACACAGGAGGCAAGAATATATAATGGAGAAAAGACAGTCTCTTCAGAAAATGCTGCTGGGAAAACTGGACAGCTACATGCAAAAGAATGAAACTAGACCACTTTCTTACACCACAAACAAAAATAAACTCAAAATGGATTAAGGGCCAAATTGGTGAGATATAAAACCATAAAACTTGTAGGACATCTGGGGAAGATGGCAGAGTAGGAGGATCCCAAACTCACCTCATCCCATGGATACATCTAGATAACACCCACATCAGTATAAACAATCCAGAAAATAACCTGAACACTGGCAGAACAGACTCTCCACAGCTAAATGTAGAAAAGAGGTGACATCAAAAAAGGTAGGAAGGGTAGAGACATGATTGGGAACCAGACTGACTCATGAGACTGTCCGCGGGAAGGAGGGACACCACAGGCACAGAGATCAAAAAGGAGCACACCCCACACCAGGCATCCCAGGCATGGGGGATCCCCATTGGGAAGCTGTATCCCCATAATATTTGGCTTTGAAAACCAGAGGGGCTTAACTTTGCATGTTCTTAAAATTAGTGGGGTTTAACACCTAGAACCTTAGAAAGCAGCAGGCATGGCTCTGGGAGAGCAGGAGGGCAACAGGAAATGAAGTCCTGCCCTTAAGAGACAGCATAACAACACTGCTGAGATATAACAGAGAAGTAGCAATCTGAAAAACACCTGGAATATATGGGAAGATTTATTTACTAATTTTAGAACATGTGCAGGAGGGACAGAGACCATTGGGAGACTCCTCCAAGAAAAAAAGTGCTGGCAAGCACCAGCCTTTCCCCCTGCCCAGTCTAGATATATGGACACCGGCAGGAACCTGCACAGTGTGAACTCTTTCCACCTAGCATGTTAACAGTGACCCTACCCCAGCTTTCTCATGTGGACCCACTCAATCCAACATACCTTCAGCAGGAATCCATCCAAAGCAGTGCCCCATGCCTGGCAGTGTGCAAGTAGCCCAATAGGGACCAGCACCACTCCAAACTGACACCTGTCCCAGGGAGAGGGGAAGATAACCACATACATCAGTTTGACTATGGCCCCAAAAGTGGACAGGGGGCAGACATCTGGTCTGACTGTAGGCCCCACCCACCAAAGAAAGCTTCTCAGGGGACAACACAGGAAGAGAGCCTTGCAGTTCTGTGTGACCACAGCTCTTGCGAACACCCAATCTGATCCAACTCAAGCCAAAGGTGGTTCCAGAGTAGCCCATTAACCACACAGGGACCAAATCCTGCCCAAACAGGAAGGAGAACTATTGCAGATGACTGAACTGAAGGCAAATGTGGCTCAGCCACGACAGTAGGGTGCACACAAAACACATAGGAGACACTCCTGAAGTGTCAGGTGCTGGTGAACAGGAGACATTGCACTGCAGGGCACTACAGGGCCTCCACTTCATTAGCCCACCTCTTTCAAGAGCAAGAGATGGAACTGAGTTTCCTAACACATAGAAACAGACAAACAAAGTTAGACAAAATGAGGTGACAGAGGAATATGTCCCAAATGAAAGAAGAGCACAAAATCACAGCAAGAGAGCTAAATAAAACAGAGGTAAGTAATATGCCAGTTAGAGAATTTAAAGTAATGGTAATAAAGATACCCAATGGACTTGAGAAAAGAGTGGAGGATCTCAATAAGACCCTCAACAAAGAGAAAGAAAACATAAAAAAGAACCAATCAGAGGGGTGCCTGGGTGGTTCAGTTAAGCATTGGATTCTTGACCTCAGCTCAGGTCTTGATCTTAGGGTCATGAGTTCAAGCCTCCACTGGGTGTGGAGCCTACTTAAAAAAAAAAAAAAAAAGAATCAATCAGAGATGAATAACTCAATACTTGGAATTTAAAACACACTACAGGGAATAAATAGTAGACTAGAGGAAACAGAAGAATGGATCAGTGACCTGGAGAACAAAGTAGTGGAAAGAGATCTAGTTGAACAGGAGAAAGAAAAAAGACTAATAATGAGTATAGATTAAGGGAATTCAATGACACCATCAAGTAATAATGTTGACATTAAAGGATCCCAGAAGGAGAAGAAAGAAAAAGGGAAGAAAATTTATTTGAAGAAACAGCAGCTGAAAACTTTCCAACCCTGGGGAAGGAAACACAAATCCAGACCCAGGAGGCACAGAGAAGGCACAACAAAACCAACTCAAGCAAGTCCATACCAAGACACATAGTAATTAAAATGGCAAAAAGTAGTGATAAAGAGAGAATTTTAAAAGCAGCAGGAGATGGGTACTTTGGTGGCTCAGTCAGGTAAGTATCTGACTCTTGATTTCAGCTCAGATCATGATCTTGGGTGGGGGGGGGGTCCCTGGGAATGAGTCCTGTGTTGGCCGCTGTGCTCAGCAGGGACTCTGCTGAAGATTCTCTCTCCCTTGACCCTCCTCCTGTGCACGTTCTCTCTCTCTTTCTCTCGCTCTCAAATAAATAAATAAATCTTTTTAAAAAAAAAAAGCAGCAAGAGAAAGAAAACAGTTACATACAAGGGAAACCCCATAAGGCTCTCAACTGATGTTTGAGCAGAAACTAGGCAGGCCAGAGAAGAGTGGCATGATATATGTTCAAAGTGCCGAAAACAACAACAAACAACAACACAAAAAACTGCAACCAAGCATACTCTCTATCCAGCAAGCCTATCATTCAGAAAAGGAGAGATAATGAGTTTCCCAAACAAAATTTAAAGGAATTCATGACCAATAACCAGCCTTACAAGAAATGTTAAAGGGGATTCTATGAGTAGAAAGACAAGCAGGAGTAAGAAAAGTAGGATGCACAAAAGCACTACAATTAAGTATATCTATAAAAATCAGTCAAGGAAGTCACAAAAGTATGAAACTATATAGCAAAAATACAGGTGGCAGAGGAGTAAAAACTTAGTGCTTTAAGACGGGGTTCAAACTTAAATGGCCATCAATTTAATATAATGTGCTATATGCATAAGATGTTATATATAAACCTAATGGTAATCACAAATAAAAAACCTGTAACAGATATGCAAAAAATAAAAAGAAATGAATCCAAGCATATAACCAAAGAAAACCAGCATGGAAAGAGCCCAAATGTCCATCGACTGATGAATGGATAAAGAAGATATGGTGTAAGACCTGTACCCCTGAAACAAATAATACATTATATGTTAATTTAAAAAAAAAGAAGATATGGTGTATATATACACAATGGAATATTATTCGGTCATCAAAAAGAATGAAATCTTGTTATTTGCAATGACATGGATGGAGCTAGAGTGTGTTATGCTAAGTGAAATAAGCCAGAGAAAGACAAATAAAATATGATTTCACTCATATGTGGAATTTAAGAAACAAAACAGATAAACATAGGGGAAGAGGGAAAAAAAGAAAGGGAAGCAAACCATAAGAGACTTAAATATATAGAACTGAGGACTGATGGAGGAGAGGCAGGCAAATAGGTGATGGGTATTAAGGAAGATGCTTGTTGTGTTTAGCACTGCGTGTTGTATGTAAGTGATGAATCACTAAATTCTACTCTTGAAACCAATATTATATTATATGTTAACTAAGTAGAATTTAAATAAAAATTTGAAAAAAAAATCACACACACAAAAATATTTAAAAACCAAAAAAAGCCCAAAATAAAACAAATAAACAAACACAAATGTTAACCTCTTCCAAGGACACCCTCACAGACACATCCATAAATAAAGTTTGACTACTATTTGAACATCCCTTAGTCCAATCAAGTTGACACATAAAATTAACCATCAAACTCTGTTGTAGCCATTAAGAAAACATTAAAAGTAGCCAATATTTGGGGGAGTCTTGTGCTTTCTATATCTGAGAAGAAGAAATGCCCCTTTGTAGAATTCTTAAGGACATGTAGTAGGTAAGCTATGGGAGTGACCTTGAAAAGCTTACCAAACACTTCTTATCAGAAGGGTATAGATTTGTGTATATTAAGATTTGTACAGATTAAGATAAATGGGCAAATACTTCTTGAATGTCATAAGAACCAAATATAGAAACCAATATTCTAAGCTT